GGGGGAGCTCATCAGAGGAGGAGTTGTGGGAAGTTTTTTTTTATTTTTTATGACTCACTTCAAAGTGTGAATGTGAGCGGGCGAGCAGGATGATTCTGCGGCCCACGGACTACCTGCACTCTCAGCAGCTACACGGAGGAGGAGTGGAAGGAGAATTGGGAGGGACGAGCTTGCTTTGGGTTTTGCGAGATGAAAGAATAATTTGGTTCGTGGGTGGATGCTTGTGTGTTTATATATATATATATACACACACACATGCACACACACACACACACATCTATAGCTATGTATCTACATATCTATATATCTATATGTGTGTGTGGGGGGTAAACACTATTAAGAAGTGTCTCAAAAATATGCAGAAAACATATTGTCACTGTCCAAAGAAAAACAAGTATCTCCAAATCGGCAACTTTTGAGGAGAGGGCAAAAACATTCTTTACTTCTAATGTACATTAATATAAAGAAATTTTATTCAAAGCAGTTTTGGAGCATTTATGTTGGTCTATTCATCATGAAACTTTTATACAATGTATAGGACAGATACTGTACTCAGTTGATGTAGAAAAATCAAAATCTAAAAAATGGAGATTTATATGCTTTTTTTGGACAGTGATGATATACTAAGAATAAACAAAATAATTAGTAGATAATAAGAAATATCTCCTGGAAAATTAGTAAAATTAGTAGCTCGTTCTTAATGGCCATTTTACTGGAAATTAAATAAATGCTGTCATAATCAATCCTTACATCTGTTACTTTAATGGAAGAATCAAAGTGTCATCAGTTTATCATGAGCTCCACTTACCATATAGGAGCACTTTGTAGATCTACAATTACTGACTGTAGTCCATGTGTTGGTCAGGACCCCCACAGGACCACCACAGAGCAGGTATTATTTGGGTGGTGGATCATTCTTAGCACTGCAGTAACACTGATGTGGTGGTGGTGTGTTAGTATATGTTGTGCTGGTACAAGTGGATCAGACACAGCAGTGCTGCTATAGTTTTTAAACACTGCATCCACTCACTGTCCACTCTATTAAACACTCCTACCTTGTTTTTCCACCTTGTATATCTAAACTCATATCTATAACTATATCTAAACTAAAATTTGTGTTGGTCATCCTCTAGTCCTTCATCAGTGGTCACAGGACGCTGCCCACAGGAAGCTGTTGGCTGGATATTTTTGGTTGGTGGACTATTCTCAGTCCAGCAGTGACACTGAGGCATTTAAAACAACTCATACCAGCGCAACACTCCACTGCAGTGCTGAGAATGATCCACTACCCAAATAATACCTGCTCTAACTTGGTCCTGTGGGGGTCCTGACCACTGAAGAACAGGGTGAAAGGGGGCTAACAAAGTATGCAGAGAAACAGATGGACTACAGTCTGTAATAGTAAACATGTAAAATGAGGGCAGATACAAGGAGGTGCACTTAATAAAGTGTCTGGTTGGTGTGTATAAATATATGCTCTTTCTTTGTCCACAATCACCAAAGATATGTTTGGAGAAAAGGGGCAGCATTTGATTAAAGAACACCTTGCCAAGTATTAGAGGAGTAGTTGAGCTTGCACAGTTTTTCACTTTCCACGAATGTGGTTGATTGACTGAGACATGTTTGGATACACTGAGATGTTATTTTTAATGTATTTAATTTATTCATGTTTTATATATTGAAACAAAATAAAACATTAACTATAGAACTTTTACACAGGCCACATTTTAGGTTCAATTATTTCCACACTATGTTAGATTCAGCAAGTAAACAGTAATTGTGCCTCAAAGTGTGCAGAAGTGTGTCTCTGTAGAGGATGTTAAATTATTTTTTCTTAGAAAATCAACAAAACATGATTTGATCAGGGTCACACAAGCTTTTGCATGCAATTGTATATACATATTTTGTTGCTTTCATAAACAAACCTTCATCTCAGAAATGAGAACTTTATAAGAGAAGTAAAAATATTCAGAATTTCACTTTAATGTCAATGTATCAAGATTTCATTCCTTGTAATTTTGGGCCAGTTCTATTGGTCCATTCATCATGCATGCAGCATATATGTTTGTGTATGTGTGAGTGTGTGTGTGTGTGTGTTGTGAACATGTTTGCGTCTGTGTATAAGCGCGTGTATGTCAGTGACTATGAATGCTCAGGACGAGTGAGGCTGACACGCCATCCATCTTCAGTATTTGACATATGTTATAACGAGGCCCCGCTTCCCCTGGGCCTCAGATGGTAACCTTTGCCAAACGCAGACAAAGCAGCGTGGGTTTGTTTGAGCTTCCCCTCGAGACGCGGGATGAGACGAAAGCGGAAAAATAAAAAAATCTCGCACATACACACACACAAAGAGAAGTGTTCATGCGGCCTTTTCATGTTACTACACAGAGGCCCTGTGTCCACCCAGTTGTGTCATCTCCGCCAACAAGTTCAGTTGTTAGATAGACAACAACAGGCTGCCCAGTAGCAGCTTGGCGTGCAACCTAATTAGCTTGGCAACATAGAGGAGACTGTGTTTGCAGCAGGTGAACTCAAAGTGCGCAAAAAGTACTTGCTTTTTTGACAATTTCGCTTGGCAGCCCACGAGAGAACGCTAAGCAGAGAGGGGCAGAGCTGCCAGCTGAACGCTGATGAATAAGAGAAAGTGTGGATTACATTGGCAGCGGAGCAAATCATCTGAGGTGGTCATGTTTGTATGGAAAAATATAATCATCTCATAAAAATGCTCAAATGCGCTTTGCTTGGTTTCACTGGTAGTCTGTGGATCTCTTTCTCAATCGATCTGCCACTTGGATTCATGATCGGGGGTCACCTACATGTTCGTTTTCACTATAAACTTGTAGTGAACAGTGGAAGGCAAAGCATATGACTCATATAGTTAGAAGTAACTGCGCCTGATTTGTCTGGGCCTGTTGCTTTCTGTATTCTAGCATACACTGCATAAACTTTCCAAAGGACCGAGCTATATGACATGTTTACACCCATTAAATGGCCAGGAGCCATTCATAATAATAGCATATACATCCAAAAGCTGATTATTCAGTATCATATTCCAGGCAGTTATTAGGTAATTGATGTAATAAGCCTGAGATTAAAAGGGTTTAACTTAAAACTCTTATTCTAATTGATATTCTGTAAGACAGTTGCTTTTACAAAATAAATGTACAGTAGCGGCCAAAAGTTGACCTGATTGAATACATGCTTTGATCAGGCTTACAATCATACACAAAAGCTTGGGCACCCCGGTCAAATCACATTTATTGAAGGGAAAATAAGTTACACATCCTCTACAGAGAACAATCATCTACACGTTTTAATGCACAGTTACTGTTTTTTTGATGAGCTTAACAAATTGGGAAAAAATAAAACACAAAATGTGGCCTGGGCAAAAATTATGGCACATTTATATATATTTTTTTCTAACAGGTCAAACTTAAAAATAGAACAATAGTGAAACAAAACAAAAAATAGGCATTTAAGTGTGCAGAAATTGCCATAACTAGGTTTGTTCTCTGTAGCATGTAACTGTTTGTGTACCTGGTTAAAATTAGCTTCTAAGAAAAGTTTTCTTTTTTTTATATATTAAAAAATGAATAGGCCTCAGCATATGTTTATCTTCTTCAATCCTTTTGTAAAAGCGTCTCCAGTGGCTCCACATGAAGCTGCGTGAGAGAATGCAAGGAGTGTGCAGAGAAACAAGATGTCAAGAAGTCAAAAGATGGAGGAGCTCATTTAAAGAGTTTAAAACGGAAGACAGAAGTTTTGATTCGGTTAACACTTTTTTGATCCCTGCGAAATGCAGAGATGAGTACACTGTAAAAGTGAGTATAAAAATACAGTAATTTTTATTGGCAGCAATTTCTCCAATAATTTGTACAGTTCATCAGGCAACAGTTCATGATGAACAATCATGCTATTTTTCACAGCAGCGTTGGACTGTTGATCAGTCTCGGCATGATCTGACTACCACTTTACAGCAGTTACTGCACTGATACCATCATTAAGACTACAAAGACTGCAGTAATCAAATATCTATTAATATGTAAAACATTAAAGGATGAACTAGTTACTGAAACACAAACACTATCGTGGTGGAAACAACAAAACACTACTATATTCAGAAACAGACTGCGCAAACTACTGGCTACTTTCCCAATATGCTTTGCAAATAAACGCTAATTACTGTAAAAGCTGACACTTTTTACTTTCTTTAAAAAGAAGCTGGGCCTGTTTCTACAAGAATGCTTACATTTTTGCAGCAATCTGCTGTATGTAAGGATTTCAATACATTACTGCAGTGTTTCTGATCATTTCTTTACAGTGTAGGTGTAACTGGTATTGTATTTTGGCATCCATTCCATTGCAATCCATGAAGATTTTGCTGTGGCTCTTTGGCTGAGGAACCAACAGCTGATTGTTTAATATTTTTAGACCAATGTGGAGAAACCGTGTAATCCACATAAGCTAACCCAGTTTTCCTACCAGAACCACACTTTATGACCTGTATGCTTTTTAACAGATGCTCGACATCGTATCTTAAATGACACCCGAATGGCTTCAGTTTAATCTTACTCTTTACTCGATACAGATGTTGCTCATGAGTGTCTTGTACGTGACTATGCAGTACAGAATATTAAAGGCTGAGAGCAAAGGGCCCATCAGATAGCAGGCCATTATCCACAATTTGGCCAAAACAACCCATTGCCTGTTTGCTTTTATTGTGCACAGACAAAATACGTCTCATTCTCTGATTTAAACACATCCTCTTCCTCTGCCTGCTGTTAGCGTTAAGGGACTCTCTCTGGCCTGAATGTCTTGATGGCTCTCCTCTTTCATGTTTTATAGTGTCAGGGAATAAAGTGATAATTGTGAGAGATTAATGTTGTGGAATGTGGTCATGTGGGGGTAAAACGCAGATGAAATGCAGATAACCTTTGCAGCTGGCTGACGCGAATTCCCACGCCGCTGATAATCGTCCTCTTTCCATGTGTTTGCAGATGAAAGATGACCGGTGAGGATCCTCAGCCCATGACCGATCGCTGACGCTCACCAGGCCTGGATACGTGCTTGTTTTTTGTTTTTTTTTGTTTTTGCTCATCCTCGTGATTATCCAAACCGTTGTCATCGTCCAGCATCTGGAGGCTGAGGAAGAAAATGACCTCTTCAGTGTGCAAATGCCTCCTAAAAGGCCTCCTGTTCGCTCTGGCCTTTTACCAGTGCTCCGAAGGTAAGGTCATCTCCTTTGCTCTTTTCTCCGTATGGACACATGTATTTACCTTAGCGCTTTCTCTGTGAGAATTTCTGTCGTTGCTATCCTGTGACACATCTTTGACATCGTTATGTGGACAATGGTATGTGGACACCTGCTAATCACACCTATATGCGCTTGTTGGACATCCCATTCCAAAACCATGAACATTAATATGGAGTTGCTTCGCTCTTTGCAGCTATAACAGCCTCCACTCTTCTGGGATGGCTTTCCACAAGATTCTTCAAGCTTCTTTGTTGGCGCTATGAATTCTGGTCGATAGCATTCCCCTTGTATCCACTAAACCCAGATTCGTCCATCAGATCGTCAGATAGCGAAGTGTGAATCTACCCTAGAGAACACGTTTCCGTTGCTCCACAGTTGTGTTGGCGTGCCCTTCCATTTGACAATAATAGCACTTACGGTTGACCAGGGCAGATCTAGCAGGGCAAAGGTGGCCTCCTATGGCAGTGCCACATTTAAAGAGCTCTTCAGTACAGCCCATTCTGCTGAGATTGCATTGCTATGTGCTTATTTTATACAACTGTTAACAATAAGTGGGCTAAAACACCTGATTTCAATAATTATGAAGAGTGTCCACATACTTTTGGCCATGTAGCATATCATATATGAAAACTCACATTGATTTTTTTTTTCTTTTTTCCCCCGACTTGTCACTTGTCACTCAAGTGAATCTTCTCACACTTGTACCATTAATGTGTTCAGATGTTGTTAAGGCGATTAAGGTCGAATTTCTAGACCGTTTTTTCCAAATTATCTGCAATCACACAGGGCCTTGAGGACTAAACCGGTTAAATCATGCAGATTAACTCAGAGGAATTGTCGTTATGGAGGATGAAGATGAGTTTGAAATGCGAGCGGCATCATTTTTCCCCTCATATCCTCACCCCACCCCCCCTTGCACCTGAGTGAACGAAATGTGTGATTTGGCTGCCTGCCAGAGTGACGACTTTGCGAGGTGAAAGGAATGTTTGTAATAATCTGCTAAGAAAACACAAGTCTTAATTCATTTTCTCCGTGACTCTTCGACTTTGATTAGCATGTTTGGTTGTAATTACAAGTGTAGCCACAGAATACATCACCCCCCCCCCCCAAACCCCTCACCCTGCTCACACACACCCCATCAAAAATGACTCATATGGACGTTTTTGTGGAACAACAATTATTTCTCTCTTTGCTCTTTCCCAGTCTCTTTTTTCCTCCGCTATTTTTTAGAACAAAGTTGATTTAATCATACACTTGTGTGCCAAACATTGATTACTGCAAAACACAAGTAAGAGAGGCTTTCTTTATAGTTGTGCTGTTTTTTTTTTTTTCTTGTTGTTGTACACTGCTGCGGCTTCCTGTTTTAGCTGGCATTTACCAGGGCAGTGGAAAATGGGTTTGTTTTCAATTGGTATAGGGTAATTAGCATATTTCCAGATATTTTAGATTTTCGGTTGGATGTAAGCTTAACCCTTTAGACCCCAGCAGGATTTTACAACACTCACGTGGATTCCTGCCAATGTTCAGAGTTAGAGGCTTTTTTTAAACACTGTTTTAAGCAAAAAGTTTTTTTTTAAAAAAAAAAAAAACAGCTCTCCTGAGGGAGAAAATGGTCTCCAACCATCATGCCAAATACAAGTGTACACATAATGAATAAGAACTTAGAAAGAACCGACTACACCAATGATGTTCAGGACCCTTTCTTAAAGAAGGACATGATATTAGGCTTTTAAAAAATCATATCATTCCCTTGTGATTTTATCTAAAGGCTGAACACAGCCCACTCTGTCTCCCACATACAAATTCACCAGATAAGTTAAGAAAATATGTTGACATGATGCACAACTTTCTAGCAAATACACCTTAATTTGTTTGCATGTAGTTTTGACTGTTGAACTAAATTCAGACAGGGAAAGCGAGCGCTTTCAGCCATTTGTTTAGCTGCTACAGAGCTGAGAGATGGAGACAAACAGTGATAGCAGGCTAGCTAATCAATTTAGATGATTCCTTTATGATGAGATACGTCCATAAATCTAAATGAACTTAGTATAAAGCATTGATCCCTTAAAATCTCAGGCTAATTACATACTAAGGCTATACATACTTCAAGGTAAACTGGTTGAGCTATAAAAAACAGGCCATTTACGGGGTTAAAATAACCTTCCAAGCCTGTCAAAGTCCCATTTCACTCATGACTGAGCTTGAATTTGGACTACCAAGTAAGCAATGGAATATTAACTTGACTGTCCATTCAAACAAGCTAAACTGACTATGAAAACAAGTCAATAAATAAAGATTTTTAAAAAATTACATCTTGAACTTTGTTCTGTGTCATCGCTGCTATCCAGGTATGCAAAAATCCAGTTAGACTCTTTTTTATCATAATATGACACAAAATTACAGCACATCTGAACAGTATTCTGGCATCTTTGGGACGTCCATCGAAAACAGAGATTTGTCACAAACAAAAAACTGGAATATTTTGGTTCAAAACAAAACATATAACTATCTAAGTAGAGCTTGTGAAGACAGTCACTGTAGTTATTCTGTTTTCTGTCAGAATTCACCGTCTGCAGCCATTACAGTCAAATGCAGAGCTGCTGTGGGGTCTGGAGGGTTAAGAAAAATTCTCAGTTCTTCACTGTTGGAAAAGCTCAATATAAGAGTCACATGCAAGTCCGGCTCAAGCCTTTCGTCTCGTTTTTTGAGGTACTTCCCTTGGTATGCAGCGAGTTAGGAAGCTAAGGTTTTCGGTTTCACTCGAAGTGAAGGCTTCCAGCTCCATGAATGATCATTCACCCATCCATCAGTGGTGGAATGTGTGTGGGTTTCTCACAAAACAATGTCTTATCCATCCACAAGCCATTTACCTTCTCCCAACTCCCTTGCAAGACTTGCATTTTTCTTTTTTTCTAAAATGAACCACAATCCTTTGGAGGCCTTCACAGAAAGGGCCTCTCAGTAATTGCTTCTTGCTCTGTGGTTGATGATCGTCTTTGTGATCCGTTGCACAAAAACGTACCAGACGTGCTTTGAAATCTCCAACGAAGTTCTCCAAAACCTCTCTGCTTTTGTTCCATTATACGTTCTCCTGGTAGCAGAACAGTCTTTAGCGTTTTAGATGGCATATCAGTATAACTTTAACTATAAGCAGGTTCTTCCACTGATTTTTCAAAATTTCAGTTCAATAATTGAGATGCAGTCATTCCTATTAGTGTAATGTGAAATTGTAGAGAAAATGACCAGTTTTCTTAACAGTGGTGGTGATAGGAACTATCGAAAATGACCAGTGAACCTACATGCCTTCTGAGTTTTATATGTAATGTTTATAATTGCAAAATATTGATAAATGTGAAAAAATAAGTTTTGTTTGAGACTATTTTGCCTTTCAACACCCTGCATGTATCTCTCCACCATTAAAAATGTGTCTTATGCCAGAATTTTCTCAAAAGTATTGTAAAACAATATCCCAAGCATCTGACAACATGCTCATGAATATATTGGATGTCTGGTTCCTCTCACCACCACTGTGAACAATTCTGACTTGTTAAGTTTGTCTAAAATGGCTCCAGATGACTTTGTTTAAATCCTAGTGATTTGATTATGGCCTTTTATACCCTTTAAGGTGTCAGCGCTGAGCATCTCAGTGGTCCGTCTGAACTGCGTTTCTCTTGGCCTCCATATGGCTGAATCACAGCTAGTGATCCTTTGTATTTTGAAATGAAAATATGAAAGAATCCGCTGCTACCTGATGCGTTACCCCCTGCCTATATCAGGAATGTTGCTTTCGGAATATTTTAAAGTTCTAGAGAATGCTAAGCACTGGCCTTGCTATACGCACCCCCCTGTTTTCTAATGCCTGCACTAATCCCTATCATACTTATTCACGTCTTTTGTCATCACGTCCTGCTGGCAGCAAACTTAAGAATGCCTTAAGGAGCCTTGTGACAGAGGGGGTCTTGTGTTCCTCGTGGGTGGGTGGGCTAGTCCATGGCTGGAGAGATTTACATTACAACGAGACAAAGGAGAAGCATCCACAAAGGTGTGACTCCATCACTGCCCTGCTACCTACCACGCCGGCATAAATACACGTAATTACGGCCTTCAAAGTGCCACAGAAGGTGCGGGAAGGCATATTTACGCCTTTATACTGTGTTTTATTTAGACATATGAACATGTTGTTCTTTAAATGCCGAGCTGAATGGGCCGATAACAAGGCTGTGTAAGACATAAAGACGGATTAAATGATCTGTGTCATCTTGGCGTAGACAAGAATCAGCATTAAGTCCCGGAACCACTGTTTGTTATGTGTTTTTAAAAATGTTTGGCTTGCGGACAGGAGGGCTGCGAGCCGTGTCTCAGCTTGAGTTCTGTTTGTTTGCCAAATGCATTTAAGTAGCGGGGAAGCAGGAGGTGTTAATGTATTGTGGAAATGAAGTAGCTTCGGAATGAAATTGCAGAAGTGTAATTGGGTAGAACACGTCTGCCCCTTGTGACACTGAGGTATTTCCTGGCCGATTTAGGGACGGCGAGACAGTGCGTTTCTTCTTAATCAGCTGCACCCAGCCACACTGAAAATCTCATTAGAGGTTTTGGTGTTTAATCGGAAAAGGCGTTGTGCTACGGAGCCAAAATCACAAGACGCATCCAGGCAAAAAAGACCTAAATCCTATCAAACACAAGCAAGAGAAGCCAAAATATGCACATACTTTATTGGTCACCGCCAATGGAACAGGTTCTTGGAATTGCATCAGATAAACTTTGTGAACTTTGGGTTTTAAATGCATTTGAAGAAAGCGCATTTATATGGAGCATCGTTTGGGTAGAGCTCCATCATGAGCTGCAGGGGTTTCTGGTTCACGTCCTGAGACTCTGACTTACTACAAGATGACTGTAGGTTCTAATAACCCTGGCTTTATTCTGCTGCTTGGCCATGAAGAAGCTCTGTTAAGGCAATACTTCTGGAAAAAAAA